CTTACTTTGGGACTCGTCAAAATATATAATAAAACATTATTTTGTGTTTAACTAAGTCCTGACTAGAACAATTAAATTGCTCACACATCTTTTCCCTTTGGGGTTTAGATATGAGAGTGTAGGTCCCTGAGAGTGATGGGTGATCAGAAAGATGATTTCAAAAGCCTCAAAGCAAAGTATAAAAAAGATTGTGCATTCTGAGAAATCAAAGCCTTGCTATGGGAGGCAAACATTTCTTATATGGACACAGAAAGCATGCCCCAAATGGATTCTGATCAATATTGCAGTGAAGTGAATGTTTTTCATCTCTAAATGCCTTCCTTGATTTTCCCCCTGAAAAATATACTGAGGCTGAAAGCAGTGTAGTAAGCAGGTGGGTGAAAGAGGCAGTAATCTGGTAAATATTCTTAACAGAGTCATACACTTTTACAGCTGAACGGTGTCCTAGGAGATCATCTCCTTATAGTCACTTCTTTTACACATAGACATCTGCTATCTGGAGCAGAAACATGCCTGGAATAACACAGGTTGTAAATCTTCAAAATATTTCCACAAACAGTAAAAAAGCACATTCAGTACAGTGTAATTTTAAGATGAAACCCAGAATGAATGAATTCCAGTTGTTGTTGAGAGTTGCCATGAAGCATACCTTGACTCATGGCAGCCCCATGCATGCAGAGTAGACTAGCTCCTTAGGGTTTTCAAGGCTGTGAGCCTTTGGAAGCAGGTCACCAAACCTACCTTCCAGGGTGCCTCTAGCTGGGTTCCAGCACCTCTAGGTGAGTCCACATCTCAAAGCTATCAGCTTTGCATAATGCTTTATGTGATCCAGGGATTTCTGGGTTCCAATTAGAATTCAGTTATAAGCTTATGGGAGAAATGCCCTAAACCCAATGATACAGAATCTCCAAAGTCCAACACTGGCTCTTTTATTAGAAAGCTATGCAAACCTGCACTGGTTATCTGGCCTGTGATTACCAGCTCCTTTGCTGCAAAGTAGAGAGATAGTCAATCTTAACTTGTTTGAAAGAGTTGTGAGAATTAAATTAAATGTGAAAATGCTTTGGACAGTATAAGAGCAAAATGTTAAGGCCAGGTATATCAGAGCTGCCCAGATTTCATCTCATTTAGTTAGACAGGCGAACAAAAGTAGAACAAAGTAATACTCCAAATGTTGTTATTAGTTTTGTACCTATACTTTATTCTCTGTACTCAGAAGACAACTTCTGATAGTTACATTCTGCTTGTATTCTGTAAATGTACACAAAATTTTAACATGGAGGTTTTTATTAAAAAATTCCAACACATTGATGGAAGGGAATAGAGTAGCTATTGCTACAAAGGGAAATTTATAGGAGCACAATTTTATCCATCAGCAATTCACAAACA